CCTCTGTGTAATAAATACATGTCCCACAAAGGTCATTCATCACTACTCCCAGGACAAGGAGTCCTTGCTTTCTCATTCTCACACTAAAGCACAGAAAAATAAATAAAGGAGTGGGAGGAGATGATCTTCTAGAAAATAAGTTATTTTCAGGGCTCTGTAGCTCCCAGGCATCCCCAGTCTCTGGAAGTAGCCTGATAGCATTTAAAGGAGCGGCTGTGAGACTGATCCTGAGGGGGGCTGAGCACTTCTGATGGGCAAGTCTACAGAAGGACTGGTGCTAGAGCATTGCTGGTATAACCTCCTTATGCATATACTGGATGTCAGACGTAAAGGATCCTTTGCTGATACGCATGCAAGGGATGTGGGCACATTAAGTCTATTTGGTTTGTAATGTTGCCTAGTAGTTTTGGAGCCTGGGTTGATTGCTGCCTGTAAAGTGGGCTTGCTACCCATTGTGCAGGTACTCAGCAGTTGTTCTCAAGATCAGACACTGGCTTGGGAGATGCTGAACAACATCTTCACTCAAGGAAAATTGCTTGTCATTTGTATCTTTTTTCCCCTCACTGTGAACCCAAAATACCCTAGTGAGGGACAGCACTCAAGTGTATTAAATATCTAGAATCAAATGCAAGTTAGATACATGGTGGTAAGTGTAAGTTGCATATAATCTCTGACGGCCACACACTTTAATGCATTTATCCATATAATACCCTGTGAGATAGCATGGTGTTATCACCTCCACTACACAGAGGAGGAACTGAGGCAAAAAGTAGCTAAGCAACTTACTTAAGGTCACAAACAACATTGGTGCCAGAGCAGTAATTTTAACCCAATGACTCTCCTAACTACTAGACCAGACTTCCTTGTTTGGTAGGCACCCTGTTCTCTGTGGTTGATTGATTCCAACCTTCAAGAGAAAGGTTATATATGGTCAGTTACTCATGCCTGTCCACTCTTAACATCCCTCCAAATAAGTATGTATTTAGGCTCCCCAGTATCATCCAAGAATGAAGACTAAGTACAATGTTACCTACAGATGCATCATTTTCAGATGAGCTTTTAACAATTATGACATTCCTGGGTTCTATTAAAAGAAACATTCAACACAGACATTTAACAACAGATGCTCATTAGATGTGCATCAGAAAACCACAAATGAAAAGTCTGCAGAAAGTGTTTTGCCACACTGATAGTTTTGTGCCGTGAAATTGCTCTCAGTGCATGAAGAAACCGTCTGCACAACGTGCCAACCTGGTGTTTGGTTCAGTAACTCTCCCAGTCACTGACAGTAAATTTGGTCTTCACTTTCCTTCAGTGATTTCACCAGGTCACAATATCAAGCAAGGCTGTATTTTCTTCACATGAGTCAGACAGGGAACATGAAGATTGCTCTACTGCCACAGAGGAATGTTTTGTGGTTCATACTCTCATGGTTTCAGTCTGAGCTGCCTGAGTTTTCTGCTACAATCACTCTGAGTAATCTGCTAGCAGACTAAAAATCTGAAGTCTGAACCTTGATTTCATTGAAGCTGTGACAGTGTGCAAGAGCTGAAGATCTGCCCCAAAAGTAATCTCTAGCTATGGCTCCCCAGTTCCCAAGCACAATCACCCAAAGGCTTGTTCCTTCTACACTTCCAAGAGCCTTTTCCCTTGGTCCCGTGCTGTGCTGCCTGTCTACACCTCCATCTAGGGTTCCTGCTGCTACCTCTTCACCCTTGTACCATTATCCTGTCATCCTGCTTGTGTCCCTTTTCAGCTGCTTTCACATCTCACCTGTTCTGAGGAGGGAGGGTTGTCTCTGTGCCTTGTTCACATATGCCTCCACTGTCCAATCTCTGGCCCAGCCAATCTCCTGGCTTGCTCACTCTGAAGTCTTCACTGCCCTTCTTAAATTATGATCCACTACACTTCAGTGTGGTCTCCTGCCTCCAGTCAGTGCTCTCCCATTCTGCCCCAGCTCAGCCCAGCAGCTGGAATCAGAAGAAGATCAGTTTCTGTTAAAAACTCTCATGTTATCAATGGTGCCTTTTATACACATTAAAGCCCTCCATATTAAAAGGCTCATCTCTTTCACAAGGCCAACAGAGCAAAACAAATGTGAAGTCTCCTGACCCTGCCAGTGGGAGATGTGATAACTCTAAACAAAGAAACATTCTCAAAAAAGAAACTACAGCTAAAGCTTCAGACTAGCCAGGCTAGGGCTTTGAGGCTGGCCTCCGTGCCAGGCACAGCACAGTTCTATAATGGCAAAGGCAGCTTTAAGATATAGTGGTAAGGCACAAAAGATAAAACACCAAGCTGCTCTGCGTTGTGTCAGCTGCCCAGGACCCCAAGGACCATGCCAGCATCTATCTAGGTATACCCACTGCTCCAAGAACTCAGACAAGGGACAAAAAAAAGCACTTGGGGCAAGAAGCTTTGCACTAGGGAACTGGTGTAAATTATATTAGCGCAAAGCAGCACATCCCCCCCAATATTTAAATTATTTTTTTATTAATATCTCAGTGAAACTCCCATATGCAAACAACCAGGAAGAGCAGTTTCACTTTGTAGAAGCTGAAGGAGAAAGCATGGAAAATTCACCTACAGTAGACAGCTAACTTTACCCATGACACAGCAGCCAGCCCGCCTCCACCAGAACGGTGTAATATTTTGCAATTTTCCATGCAAGTTCTTCAAGCTCTGTGTAAATGTTACAACTTGTCAAAGTATTTCAAATTTGAATGCAAACAATGTTTTAAAAAAAATGTGTCCTGGTTTTTGACAAGCTCTATTAAATAATGGTGAATTAAGCCCTGCAGTCTGTGTGGATGAGGTACTGTTTGTAATCCCTGTTCTAAAGTGTATGAAAGGTGAAGCACAAAAAGAATAAGAGTCTGCTTCTGTGAAGTGCTGGGCACTTGTAGCTCCCACCAATTTTTCTTGGAGTCCTCAGTGTGCCGCACCCCACAGTTCCCAACCCTGTAAGGAGGCAGCTTCAGCCTCCACTGAAATCTCTGGGAGTTGAAATTGCTCAACACACATTCATTTCTGACTCAGAGTCTTGTGCTTTAAAAAAGTCCAAAAGTGCGTTAGAGAAAGAGAAATCAAGCAGATGGAAATTAGCATGTTCCAGACAAAAGGAAATTAGCTAAAGGAAAAACAAGTGCCCTGTAGTAAGAGTAGTAAAAATATCTAAGTAGGTCACTACATAGCCACACCACAGCTGAGTGCACAGGGAGTCTTGAGGGCATATAACTGAGCAGCATGAGGAAGTCTCACATGCTACAAATATGACCCTTCTATAATATGAGAACAGGCAGCTCCTTCCAAAGTTTAACATTGTTTTAAATGCACACAAATCTTCATTAAATCTTGGTGTATATTAGGGTATCACTCAAGATCACATACACAGAAAAAAAGAGTATGTAAAAACAAAACTAGCACTTTATTGCCATTTATATAACCAATATAACATTAAAGACATTATTTTAATTACTAGGCTGCATTTAAACCTTCTAAATGGCCTCCCACATTTACAAGCCCAGTGTCGTTGTTTGCCAATTCAGCTTTTTTCTTGAAGAGCTTCTTCCAGAAAGTGTCAAGTCTCCAGATTCCTCTAAGGGCTGAAAAGGATGTGTAAGGGATGATTGTTACTTATAGGGCCTGTTATCAGAGTACCCCACTTTCTCATCATTTAAACATATTCATTCAGTGCCGTAGCAACGAAGTTTGGTGCCTGGGGCAGAGCCTGCAGCAGCAGCCCACCGAGTGCCCCATGCAGCAGCCCACCCTTGCCCCATGCAGGGATTCGGGAGGCATATGCTAGCCCAGGCGTGCGCACAGTGGCGGGAACCACCCTTCCCTGTCCCTGCGCTCCCCCAAACGAGCCACTCGCGGCTCCGTTGTGTGCCCTGTCCAGGCTGGGCAGCACCTATTGGCGCTGCTGCGCCCGGGGAGGTCGCCCCCTTTGCTACGGCGCTGTATTCATTGTTGCAGCCCCCCGACGAGGCAGGGCAGGGCTATGTTCTCCCTTTTGCAGATGGTGAACTGTGCCGCAGGGAGGCTGTGATCACATCCTAAAGCTGGGACCTGAAACTGAGTTTTCCAAGTGCCAGGCTAGGCGCCGAGACATCAAGAGTGTAAACCCTGGTACCATGGCTGCCTCTTAAGGCCCCCGCCTCGGTCCATCATTCCTGCAACCAGAGCTTGGGGACACCATGTCCAACGTGATGCCCAAGGGCTCCTTGATGCCACGCTACCTTTACGCGCCACACAGCGACACCGGGGGACGAGGCACAGCGAGCAGCTGCTGCGGTGCCAGCTCTCCCCATTGAATTGTGACCCTCGGGACAGCGAGTGCTAGCTCACGGCCTCCGCTCCCGCAGTCACGCGGCTTCGTGGCAACCTCGGCTCCAGGGACTGGCAGGGAGCACCCAGCACGCAGCGAGGGAAAGCCAATACCAAGAGCCCCCAATCCCGCCTTCACTCCGCATCCCAGAAGTGCTGCAGTCAGCTGCTGATGACATCACACCATAGCACAGTGACGTGATGCCGGATATATGACGCACCCCCCCACGCACGACTCGCCAGCCCTCCCCACCCCCGCGCCCGGAGTGGGGCGGGGCCGCTTCCCCGCCCGTCACGTGACACCGCCCACGGCTTACGTCACAGCCTCAGTCAGGCGAGTCAAAGCCGCGCTCGCGTATCGGCGCAGCGCGCATGCGCCCTCGAATCTCCCCACCATAGAGTTCTGTCGCGGCTATAGAGCGCCGCGAGGGCACCCGGAAGTGGGACGTGCGCTCCGCCGGCCGGGAAGATGGCGGAAGTGGAGTGAGTGGGGGGCCGGGGGCGCCCAGAGCCAGCTCCGTGCTGCCAAGCGGGAGCCCCTGGTTCTGCAGCCCCTACCGAGCCCCCCGGTGGCCCCGTGGCTCAGGGCCCCCCCGGGCGTGGCTGTGGCGAGCATCGGTCCTGTGGCGCGTGGTCCCACAACGCCCAGCGTCGTCCCGCTCCCTCTAACTGCGCCCGTGTTGTGTTGGCAGGGTCCCCAACGCCACTCGAGATGCGCTCAATGCCACCCTGCGCGCCACGCTGGCGGTTACCACCAAGCTGGTGGCGCCCACACCCGCCAAGCCGATCCTTCCCGTGCAGACTGGAGTCGAAGCGCAGCAGGAGGAGCAGTCCAGCGGCATGACTATATTCTTTAGCCTGCTTGTATTAGGTGAATGCTTATGCATCAAAGGGATGCGTGCGGTAGCCGCGTGGGTCTGAGACCAAAAGAAACGCGAAAATCTAGAGCTCTTGGTTCAGAGATGATGCCTTTCGTTAGACCAACTAGGAAACAGCAGAAAAAGAGGATTTTTTGGTGGTTTCCGAGTTAGTCTAATAAAAGGTATCGTTTCTGAACCAAGAGCTCTAGATTCGTGCGCACCTGTCAAAGGTCGTCTTACTTGCTGTGTAGTGTGTTCTGCGTAGGCAGCATTGCCCTCAGTCCTGAGCTCAGGGCATAGTTAATTGTTCTGTGTTTCTTCTCTTAGGCCCCTAATTATGGAGTAGTTCTCATGTATGGCAGGTATTTAGGAAAGTGGGGGATGCAGGATTATGTGCGTGAATGAAGTGTGCGAACTTGTAGAATAACTAAAGATCATCTCGGACGTCATGCCTTGTGCACCAAGCAGAAGGCACAGTGGGTTTTTGACCTTGCTTTCTTTAACATGAGCACATAGCATGTGGATACAAAAAAAAATCTACTATAACACTCCACCATGTGCCCTCTTTTTCCTAGAGAAAGGATGCTAGAACACATGATGGATGTTAATCGCATTACTTGCAGCACTGTCAGAAAGTCCAGAGGCCCAATAGTGTTGAGCTTGGTAAAAGACCCTATATACTTAGAATTGTTGAGTTTGAATTCAGTGAACTTGTGTTCAGCTCTAGTAAGCCATGGGCAGTTTGTTCCTACGCATGCAGATTCAGTTACCCATTCTATTCCAACTGAATCTGCAAGTTGGGTATCTGTACATGATAGTTGCACAACCAACTTTTCAGAAAATCTGGGCCATCAGAAGCTGCCACTCTTCCCATCAAAACTTGGGGATGTGGAGTATATTTAGGCTTGACAAAATTCAATTTTTATTTTTCAATAATTTCAACAGCTAAAAGTCAGTGTTAGTTTGTAAGCATTTATTTCAGTTTTTATCTATTTAAATTTTCAGGATTACACAAAATTAGGAGTATGGGGGGCAGACAGCTTAATCATAATAGTATACTGTTAAAAGTTTTATAAAAATGGCATTTCGGAATATAAAAAGTGAATATCCATAAATCAGTAAATCATACCTGCTTTAAATCATTCTGTTTATTCTTCAGGAAACAGTTGCATAGGCAGGGACCAGAAGAGAGTGCAGTGTTACTCCCAGAGCTCTGGGAACACAGGGTGAGGTAGTGGCTGCCCTCAGGCAGGACCTTGCTGCCACCAGACTGAAACTTCACATACTCTTCCCCCTTGTCCTCTCTGGGGTTTGGGTAGGGCTTTGTTTAGGTAGCCTGTTATCTCACTATAGTAGCATCTGTGAAGGAGCACATAATTGCTTAATTAATGAGGCATTAGTCAGAAAGGAGCAGCTAATTGCTTAATTGAAGTATTATTAGGCCAACATTTCCCAACCAGTGTGCTGTTAGGCAGGTCCAGGTGTGCCAAGGCATTTTGGGCTGGAGCCACACCCCCTGCCTGCTGCTGCTGTGACTCCAGCCAGGCAGGGGGCGTGACTCCAGCCCAAAATGCCATCCAGCTGGCTGTGCGCTGCCCCTCCTTCTGTCGGCATCCGGCTGGCCACGCGCCTCCCCCCGCTCCGTGTCCAGTGTGTCGTGGTGCTTTTTTATTTAGGTAAATGTGCCATGGGCCAAAAAAGGTTGGCGAAACACTGTATTAGGCTGCCCATTGTTTTCCTGTTTAATCCCTCTGCCCTCTGTTCCTTCTCTTTTTCCACTGCCTAGTAACAGGGGTAAGGATTTTCTGTTACAATCCCCTTTCTATAAGTTTTGATTATTACCAATGGAAATAGTTTCCATGGGTCTGTGACTGAGGTGAAATTGCCATTTATCAACGTTTATTAATTTAAAAATATGAAGTCTGCCAAGCCTAAGTATATTGATGTTTGTTACTTCAAAGCAAGTCAGAACTAATTGGGTTTTTGCTTGTAGCTGTGTTGGTCTAACCTCAGAACTAGCAGGCAACTTTAGAGTGTTTAAAGATCTTTGTCATACCTTTTGTATGTTTATTAATATAAGCAGAGGCCCCCACCAAAGCAAAGCCCATTAAAAAATCCCTTATTTGCCTCGTTTTGTTATTGTCACTGTTTTTGCAGTGGTAGCATGTAAAGAGTCTAGCAAACTGAGTAGGAAATTGTGCAGCAATATGGCAGATTTTATTAGTGCTTCTGGGGAAAAAAATCCAAACAGTTTTATCCCCCTATAAATATTGTTACTAAACACAGCAAAAAGAAAATAGAAACTTTCTAATATACGGAATGCTGTCTTTCCCTGAAATATCAGTTTGTCTTCAAGAAAGAACTTAATTTCTCCGTGGGACCAGTGAACAATTGATATTTGAGTAGATGAGAAGGAAAGACCAGTGGAAAAAAAATGCAGTAGCTCAGAAAAAAAAATCTTAGCTTAAAAGAAAAGTCTCAATGTGCATGTGTGTCACATGGAGTTTAAAAGATGTATTAATGATAAAGTTTCTTCCTCCTTTCTGAGGGCTAAAGAATGGGACCAAAATTCTTGGCTTTAAGTCAGCTACATCACCCCCAGGATAGGGAAGTTTCTAGAGCAGAATAGAGATGTAAAAGTTTTGTAATGTCATGTTTGTGGCCTCAGGCATAAGGGTGCAGTGGGAACAAAAGTGAATCACTGGAACACGCTAGATATTGTGGATGGTAAAATGGCTCATAGAAAAATCTCTTTAGGATAGCACAATACTAGAAGCTGCCCTAAGTACCTTGAGATGAGGTAGATTCCTAGTGAAGCCCAAACTTCAGAGGGCCATAAAGTAGCACAGGCTTCAATTCAGGCCCCAAATTTCTACAGCCTCTTATTCAAATAAACCCCAGTTTTGCTTGGGTAGCCCATTGGCTAGAAGAGCATATTTTGTAACACTACTCTTCTGTGTGGTGTTCTACTAGATTCACACAAACCCTGGTTTCCTTGGACCTATGCCACGTGCCCTAAATCTGCTTTCCTTTCCCGTTTGATACACAAGCTCCATTCGGCAGCCCGGTCTAAGCACTTCCTTCACAGCCTCTTCATCAGGGCAAAATGGGGGCTGGATGTGGCCTGCCAGGCCATTCTATCCGGCTCGTGGGGCCCCTAAAAAATTTAGAAAATGCATATTTATCTGCCCCTGGCTGCCTATCATGCAGCCCTCAATGGCTTGCCAAAACTTGGTAAGCGGCCCTCTGCCCAAAATAATTGTCCACCCCTGCTCTTCATTGAGGTCATGCCCATGAAAAAGTGTGTGGCTGCAACAGATTGCAGGTCAGCAGATAAAAACATACTATTGGTCCCCATGGAGTAGGTGACAAATTGGCAAAACCTGATAAGCATTCATGTAATATTCCTACTAGTGGGAATCTGTTCTCTGAGTCTGCAGTTGCATTATATGCTGTTCTATTGCCAAAGAAAAATACTTGGAAAGAACTGGCATTCGGATCTGTTAAAGATAAATTGTACCATTAATCAGATAGTACTTAAGACTAAGGGCTAGTTTTTTTTTAAATGTTGGGGCACTTATTTAATGCAAATAAGCCCCAGGTATTTTCAAAAGCTTCTAGCTGTATTACTCTCACAAGCACTCTTCAAAATCCTGCTAGGCAACCACCTGCATCTTTATGGGCCTAAATATCTTTAAAAGTCTGGTTCTGTGTGTCTTACCTTAAAAGTGCTATATTCAATTGGAGTTCTTTACAGAGCGTGGGGTATGTGTCAATGAGTTCTTTGATGGCTGCTCAGTCTGATGCGCAAGTGACAGTCCCACCCACAGGTAGGGCACACCTACGCACTAGCAATGCTCTGAATCAGAGCAGCAGATTCTTTCCTCCTCTGATGCCAGTCATCACAAAATTTGATCCAGTGTGCCTCACAGCGCCTTGCTCCATCTGCAAGCTCACTCTGCCAACTAGAGTGGCATTCTGCATTCCTTTCCCAGTCACCCACAGAGATTTCAGAGGATGCTAAGTCATCTTTGCAAGCATCCCAAAATCTGTGCAGCAATCCACCCTCCCTTCATGAGCTTCAGAGTACAGAACATTCTTCAGGATCCTGTGATCTGGCATTTACTTGACATGACCAAGCCACCGGTGTCTTTTTCTTACTAATCAGCATTCCCATGGATGGCATACCAGCACAATTTTTAAGATTTCCATATTTGTCACCCTGTCTTGCCATCTTATTCGAAGAATTTTACGCAGGCATCTGATATAAAAGCTGTTTAGTCTTCTGATGTTTGGCATAGGTCATCCATGTTTCTGAGCCATATAAGAGTGGATAAAACACATCCTATAAATAAGAACTTTCACTTTAGTTGACAGTTTGTTATTGTTCCAGGCTCTTTTTTTTGTTGTTGTTGCAAAAGACCAAAGTTCTGGCTGCCAATTCTACTAGCGAGCTCAGCATCAAGATCTACATTGCTGGTAACAGTAGAGCCAAGGTAGAAAAATTGGTCAATAACATCCAGATGAGTACCATCTAGGGTGATATCTGGAACTGGTTCCGAAGAGCCTTGGTGCGAGATAATAGTCTTCTTCAAATTTATTGTTAGCCCAAAGATTTTGCACGAGTTAGAGAACTTGGTAATGAGATGGTATAGGGCATCAACACTGAGCTACAAAAGCTGCATCATCTGCAAACAACAGGTCTCTTACGATGATCTCCTTCATCTTTCTCTTAGCTCTGAACATTGCAATGTTAAACTGCCCTCCATTGTGTCTAGTGCTAAGGTAAACAACCTCTCAAACCTCACAACGTGTTATGAAGCAGGAACGAGAAGCAAATGTTAAAACAAGTGGGAGCCAGTATTCAGTCCTGCATCACTCTGTTGTTGCTGTTGTTGCTGATTGAGTCAGACTCTTGGTTTTCATACATTACAGTTGCCTTCATGCTATCACGTAAGGATTTCACGAAGTTTTGCAGTATATAGGTGAACAACCAAGCTTCTTCAGAATAGTGTGAAAACCTGATCAACTAACCATGTCAGAGGCTTTTGTTAAATCTATAGAAGCCATGTACAGTGGGATATGCTTCTCTCTGCACTTTTCCTGCAGTTGTCTTACACAGAAGACCATATCTGTGGTGACCTGTCCAAGTAGAAGTCACACTGGCTCTCAGGATAAATTCAGCTGATGTTTGAAGTCTAGGTAAAAGAATGTGGCTTAAGATTTTTTTCCTGCAATGTTGAGAAGAGAGATACCTCTGGTTATTACAGTCACTTCTCTCTCCTTTGTTTTTATAGAGTTGGATGAAACAAACGTCCTTGAAATCTTGAGGAACAATTTCTTCCTTCCAGCAGAATACCAGTACCTCATGCAATCTTTTCAGGAAGTCTTTGTTTGCACGTTTGTAAATTTCAGTAGATAAATGGATCCTGAAGCTTTGTTATTGGGAATCTTTTTGATACATTGTTCAACTTCCTTTAGTGTAGGTTTGGCATCCAGCAAAGTCATAACTTCAAACCCAGGGAATATGTCTAGCTTACGTTGGTCTACTACAGACTCCCTTGAGTATATCATTCCATAATGCTTGATCTTCTCCAGTTGCTTCCTCTTATCAGTTATGATATTACCATCCAGGTCTTTTAACGGAGCTGTCTTGTACTTTGGCCCAGTGGCTTTTGTAATGCCCTCATACAACTGTCTGCTGTCAGCTGCCTGTTGAATGTTGTTGCAGAGACCCAGCCAAAATTCTTGAGCACACCTCCTGGGAACTGTTTGAACAGCCTTCTGAGCTTCTCTTAAGTTGTTGAGTGAATCAGTAGTAGGACTTGTAGGTGATTAGGGTAGTTATTTTTCTCTCAGTGAGAGGCAGTAGTACTTCCAAATGGTCTACAACCTAGTTGACATTTTTCTTAATATTCTTTCCGAAACTCTTGATTGCCACATTGTACATACTTGTCTTCAGGACTTCCCATACATCTGATGCAGTTTCATTCGTTCTCGGCAACTTTGCTACTTCTTCATTGAAAAACTGTTTCTTGACAGGAGTATTGATTTGGCACAAGTCAATATGAGGTTGTCCAGCAGGTTTATTGTGGTGGATCTTCTTAGCTCATCCCTAAACAGAGCTGCTTGGAAATCTTGGTAGGTGCCTCAGGGCCCTTATGCATCTCTTGGATCCCTGTGACTATCTTGCCAAGACCTTTAGCGCATATACCGAGGCAGAGTTATAGAGGAACAGAGGCTGCTATAGTCCTATCATCCCCCTTTTAGACCACTGAGCCAAAAGCCATAAGAGTGCTATATAAGCACTAAGGCAGACAAAGTTCCTTGGGTGAATTTGATATCTTTTATTAGACCAACCCTTATAGTTGGAGAATAGTTATTAAGCAAGCTTTCGAGTTCAAAAACCCTTCGTCAGGCTAAGGAGGTTTCAGCAGTTGGTGTGTGCTCTTCCTGGATATAAGCACTAACTAATTTATCCCCTAGATTCCCTTCAGAATTGGGCATTGTCCCTGCACAACAGCTGAGATTCAGAGGGTAAGGGGCTTGTTCAGGGTTCCAGTTAAGCTAATGCTACCGTGGATGTCAAGGGTCTGTGCTTAGTTTGTTGTCATGCACTGCTTGTCACTTGTAAATTAGTAAGAGTAAAGCAAGCCACATGTGAAGTGTGAACCTATAAGATTATAGCAAATATGTGTATTTCTGCAGGCAGTGGCATGATACCCATTGCTGAGCTTTATGCAGGGGAAGTCCTTTTCAGTGGGGCAGAGGAAAGCAAGTAACTGTGCATTATGTTTGCACTTGAAAACCATTCTTTTCAGTGAGGCTGCACTCCAAAGGAAGAGCAGGTACAATAGACCATTTGGTTAAAAGCTGCAATGAGTTCATAAATTGAAGCAGATTAGTGGAATGGACTGCACCCTTGAACGATTGCTGTTCATTTCCCTTGGAGACAGAAATTGCTGAATTGTAATGACAGTAGTTCAGAGAGACTTTTTGTTCTTAAATCTGAAAAAGGTTTCCTTGAAGTCAAGGCACCAGGGCCCTTGTGTTGCCTTGAAATTAGGATTGAATTGGGTTCAGAGCCTCAGATGATTACGTGGCACAGTGC